AAAAAAAAAAAAAAATTGAATTGGATTTTGATCGATATATCTTATGTCTAATTCTTTTTTTTTTTATATATTTATTAATTATTTATAATTTGATATATTTATCATATATCATAAGTGATAAATGTAATAACATTAACCAATCATTAAAAATATTTTTAATGTTTTTGAATAAAATATATAAAAGTATCTTCTTAAATATATAATGATATTTTCAATTTATGTTAAAAACAAATTTAAATTTAATTTTAAATTTGATAATATCGTATTTTTTGAGGGGGAATCTCTTAGATTTTACAATACGATTCATATAAAAAGAATGAATCAATACCATTACTGATTAATCTTTATAAATCACAAATGATAAGAAATTTTTTTAATATCTTATGTAAATATTTGCGAATAAAACTCTTAAGAGTTCATATTGAATTTTATAGAGATAATTTATGAATATCAAGTTTATAGAATAATTTTATTCTCGAATTATTAATAATTGTTGACATCTCACAGTCATTCTCACAGTTTCGTTTAACATTTGATGGCAATCAAAAGAAAAACATATTCATTACACTTGTAATTTGAAATCAAAAAATTTTATTATTAGAAATTAATTTTAAATTATTTGTAATTTAAATATCTTAATACACTTACAATTAGTTATATTATAGTAACTGTTGATGATTGGCAATAGAACTAGAACTGATTGACCTCATCTCGATGATTCACTTTATATCTGTTCTGATATGTATATATTAGTAGATATATTTCTCGAATAATTTTTTATTCAAATACATTCTTATATTGAATTGTTTTTTATTTCTGCATGAAAACAAATTATGCTGTGTTTTCTTTATCGTAAAGAATTCAATCTGAAAATAATACATTCATAAATTATTTTAAGATTATTTTATTTAATTATCAATTAAACATAGAATGATACTTATAATAATGATTTAAAAACAAAAAAAGTTTACTAAATTTTTATCATCACATCTTATCATTGTTTTATACTAACATGCTCAATTAAGTTTGGAACAGGAATCTTCTTTATATCAAATATTATATTTAATAACTGTATGTATATGTGTATCAAGATGTAAATTGAATTGATAACATATGTTATTTTATCAATTGAAAGATATAACAAGATATAACTTTATCAATTTGATTTCTAATATCTCAAATTTCGCATACCATCTATTCTTTTTCTTTTTTTATTAATAAATCCATAATAATATTTTATGATATTCATTAAAAAAAAGAATCCATTTCAAAAGAGTCAACAACAATATCTAGCACTTATTTCGACTCCTGATTTTCATTGAGGGAAATCGAAATCCGTTTGAAAAACCCGTACCAACCCAAGAATCAAAGGACTCGTAACTGGTCCTCCGATCGTGACCGGAAGAAACGAGCTGTGGAAAAGAAGCATGAAGGAAGCATACATCAAAAAGTATATTCCCCTCGACACAACTTTTCACCGTTCTTTGTACCGTTCTTTTCGCGCCCAACCCAATAGAGAGGGAGGGGGGATACTTATTGGTGTACCAGAGAGTCAAGGATGTGCGTCAGAGGGTGGACAGCAGCACCATGTTACGACGAAAGGGCGGAAAGGCGGGGGCGATGGAACGGAGCGAGAATCTGGTATAACGTGGCCACCTCCTTTATCAAAGAGGTCTTGGCAGTTTGCCACGTCGCACCGCATAATGAAGCAGCACGTTGGGCTTTGGTTATAGCGGCGCCGTGGCTTGTGTTTTGCCTTCCGTGGAATGGTTTATTGTGTCGCGGGGACCTAAACCCACCCCAACCAGACTATTCCTCCTCGAGACTGCTCCACGTCCACGATACACTCGCACTGGCATTCGTTGGCCGTTGCTTACCAGCCACGTCGAACAAAGGAGGCACGTGTAAACGGTAATAGGCGTTATTACGTTTCTACGAGCATTCGTTCCAATTGAAATCCTATCGAACGGCGATGTTAATCGCGAGAATACCGTCTCGCTAATTGAAAGGGACCAAATTGTAATTTTTCATGATGACATGTACGTATTTAATACGTCTATTGAATCGAGAATTAAAGTTAATCTATCCGGTTATATAAATCTATTTCTCTTTATATATATTTTTTTTTCATTTTTAGAATGAGTAATTAATCTTTTTGTATAATGAATTGAAAGAAATGAGTGATTTTTATAGGAGTATTTTTATGGTAATTCTTGAATGATTATGATAATATATATATCTATTGATAAATATTGATTATTGATCATAAAATTTATATTGCTTCTAAATAGAAGCCTATCATAAATTCAACAAATTTTATAAAGTTACGGTTCATAAAAAAATTAATTTAATATAATAAATTTGTCTCGAGCTTCATAAAATTATTCTTTTGTATCAATTATTATGAGTAAAATGTTATCTTAATAAAGCATTTCCACGATATTTCACAGTGCTCCGTTTCAGGAAATAAATGGATGCATTTTAATGCTTCGCGTTACATTCTTAATTTTTTAATTCTTCCATAAAATATTATCTGTTTCTTTACTTCTTTGATAATCCGATTGGCCACGACATCGTTAGCGAAAGATACATACGATTATTATAACAAGATGTTTTTATAAGGACGAGAAAAAAGGAATATATTTTAATTCAACGGGTTTGCTTTAATCATACCTTGTTAGTGAACTACTAACTGCACACGCACGCTTTTCCCAGTACGTTCAATTTAACCGGGGAAATTTGCAATGTCCGCTGAAACTTAACGACTTTTGTTCGGGGGTATACTCTCATATCATCTTTACGGAAATTTCAATTTTTAGCTTGTTACACTCTCTTGGTTTTCTGTTCGTGACAATTCCATTTTATCCATGCCGTTCGAACATTGTCAAGCATGTCGATTAATCGACATACTTGAAAAATCGAACCAAATATACATGGTGCAACATTTGCAACAATGGAAATATAATGGAATTTTACATTATCACTGTTTTTCGACATTTATCGAATCTTATATACAGCCAAATAAACTAGAGCTTCGCTCTTTTCTCATAATAATATAAAAATATATTTATATGTTTTTATTTTTAGGAAAAAAAAAAGAAAAAAAATATTAATATTTATATTAAAAAATATTAAAAAAATCTATGATGCAAAATAGTTGATATTCAATTTAAATTATAGAATATTTTTTTGTATTTTTACAAAATTATATTGAAAGAAATAATTATTAAAGAATTTTTTATATAAATAAAAATAAAATTGTAAGTAAAAAAATTATATTCTTTTCTAATCTAATTTTTTTATAATTTTTTATTATAGATCAAAGATAAGGAAACATTGATTTATACGAATCAATCATATAAATAGATTTTTCATAATATTTTTGATTTAATGAATTTCTTTTATATTTTCTTATTATGTTCTTTGTTTGATAAAAATTTAATTTTATTTTTTTTAATTTCTTCTCTTTTATAATGGATATTAAAAACCGTGTTTATCAAAGCGAAGAATGCGTCTACGATGTTTGGTAACTTTAATTACATCTATAAAAAAAAAGATATTCTAGCTAAAGTCAATGATAAAATGACTGTCTCCTTCAAGGTGTCTGAGAATGAAATTTAACTTCTTCTTCGTTGAAATTCGCACGATGTTATCGCATGATAATCGCAGCATGTTATTGAAATTCGATCAACAAAAAATAATTTATTCTGAAAATCTAAATTATTTTTCTTGCAATCTTTTCTTATATTACTTCAAGAATTAAATTAATTAATAAAATTAATAAAAAGTAATTATCTTCTATTTTATCATTGAAAAATATTCGTTTTATTTTTTTTAGAACATTTTATTAAAATATAATATATGAATAAAATGAATATTATGTTATCATTAGACACAAGAAAAAATTCCATTTTAGATTAATGTTTTAGATAATCTCATATCTCAATTGAAATCGATAACGATTGTTTTGAAGATTCGTGTTTAAAGATTTCATTAATTTTAATGATTATTTAGATTTTATATCTATTTTATTATATAATAATAACAAGTATCAATTATTGTATTTGTTTTGGTCTTTTAGAATCGATCAATCAAGATATATATTAATATCTTGTATCTCTTACAATTAGATTATACTTCATATAAAATTTTTTAAATTTTCGTGATTCTCATTATCGGAGAAAAAGTTTACGAATAAAAATTTGAAATCAAAGTAGTCGTAGTCAAGTAATAGTAGTAGTAGTAGTCAAGTTGTTTATTGGCGCTATTGAATAATTTTTGATTAATTTATTACGCTTATTTATAAATTGTGGCTAAGAATATCAATATTGATTGTAAAATATATTATTATTTAGAATAATCTCAAAAATAATGAAATAATAAGCTTATCGGAAATATGCCCAATATTAATGATGAGATTATTAATTATACAATGAGTCAATATTTCATAAGTGTATAACATTCAATATTCAAAGAAATATTTCAATATTGAAAATAAATTTATATCACAAATAAAGGTCACAGATGTTTAATAATTTGATTCATGATTTTTTTCTCAATCGAACGAGCATTTTCCTTTATCGCGTTGATCACATGAATTTAGAATATCGTGTTTCGGTATATTACAAATTGGAATATAGTAACAAACTTTTTAATGAGAATCTACATTTAAACAGCTTGCAATGCGAGTACAATATAAATTAACACGGTGAAATTTCGTTCTAGATAATCTAGAAATAGAATTTTAACTATATTTTCCACGTTCCAATTAGTTTATAACTTCCTTCAACCTAATACGATCGTAATTTCAGATAGTCTTAATCTCTTTACCCTTATCATTTTTTATTAAAAAACGTGTCCTCCTTACGAAAAGTGATTAAAATCGCGAACACCACAATAAATTTAAGAAAATAAAATTTCAAACAACGTGTATTACCTTCTACTCTCTTCTACTGTCACATAATATTCATTTCATACATTTTTTCACATAAATAACTTGCATACTATAGCTATACTTTATTATTTCACATTTGCATCTCTCCAACAATTCACTCGAAATTCAATTCGAAAGATTATCCCAATTTATTAAATCTAGCTAATCAATAACAAAACGTTACACTTAAACGTGACTTTCCATCCATCGCATATAACGTTCACACTTTCTCGGTTGGCATAAATAAAAGCAGAATTCATATTCTCGGCTCACATGTTTCGCGTTGGCTGTTCGGTTATTAGGTTTGCAGTACCGCTACCGGTACTTGTTTAATGGCAGTGTGCAATATGTGAATACCAAATAGGAGGCGTGTAACATAGATCAGCACGCAGCATGCTAATAAATTTAACGATACCAGTTCTACGTACTACCATGCTTGACGTAATTAAACGACGGATATTGCCCACCCGCAATTGATATCGGTTTCCAACCTGATCATCGATTGAAATTTCTGGAGCCTCGTCAAATGTGACGTCCCAAAATAACGAGATTAAAAAATGTACCAATTATGAATTGAATTTTGTTTAGAATTATGCATATTTCAAATATATCAACTTACAGAGAAAATTAAATCATCAAACAATTCTCAAACAATTGCCTCTTCATCAAACAATTATTATTAGACTTGTTATCTACTATTTATCAATTTAGTTACATTTTTTTATTCCAATCGATTCGTTAAACACTCGCTCACGAGAAAATAACTGGAATCGGAATATTCGATTACGAAATTAGGAAGGAATATATTCACACTCTTTCTATTTTTTTCAAACGGCAAATCGAGTGAGAATTTCGAGAAATTCTTGACGAAACTCTTGTCTCGCATCGCCAACATCTGATCGAACGAACTAGATTTTTTTACAAATTTCTTTTCGTTCCATGAATTTCCTAGTTTTCAACGAAAGCACATGCCGGGGATAAAACCGCGACTCTCAATGAGAATTTGATTACAAGCGATGAATTATTGATGATCGATAGGGCCGTGGAAAATAAGAACACGGGTTGTTGTTATCGAACTTTCATTCTTTTCTTTGTTGTTGTTTTGCGTTCGGGAAAAAACTTCTGCGTTTTTGTGTTTTTTTTTTCGTTTCTTTTCCATCCTTTTTTTTGAAACCTGCTCGTTTTTTGCTTGCGGTAAAATTTTATCGAAGTTTTAAAAAATTGAATTTTATAAAAATAGAATGATCACTGTTTGAAATAATCAAAGAATTATGCATTTCAATGAAATGTATAAAATTTTTATAAATTATTAGAAATTAAATCGTTTAATTTTTGGTAGATTTGATTATGCATAATTTAACTTTTAAAGAATCAAAAAATAATAGATAATTGTTACAAAAATGCACTATTAAAAACGGTACAAATAAATTATCGATTATTTTAAAACCACAAAAATTATAATACAAAATTATAAGTTCATTATATTTTTATATATTTATATACTTAAAAGATATCTATTATTTTATCAAAAATAATTTATCATAAATATTCCAGTTTCGTAGAATTTAAAAAAAATTATAAAATCTAATTGAAAAAAGAAATAATAAATCTTTAGAATTTTCTTTTATAATAATAATGTTGAAAATTCAATAATGAAAGAAAAAAAAAATTAGAAATGGTTCTTATTATTAAAAGGTTATTATTAATATTAATTATTATTTTTATTTCTAATTTATATATTAATAATAATTATTATATGCGCACATTATATTTGAAATTACATTTTCTTTTGGTATCTGATGTTGTATATCATTTTTAATTTACTAACTCGAATAAATTATATTATTATTGCTAATTATAATTATATTTATAATCAAACAAATTGAATCAAATAATGGGAATAAACGAAAAATTTGAAATGTAAATATTTTATCATTTTATATGGTCAAATTTGTATTAAGGATTCATTAATGTTTATTTATACATTGTTTTTCCATTAATAGCAATTATGCAGATGATCAATCATCTATAAGACATAATTTTTTTAATGTACTTGATTAAATATATACATTTATGCCAATTTAAAATAGATAAACAAATAAAATTTATAATTTATTATATAATATCATTATAAGTAATATTAATGAATGAACGATTTTTTTTTTATAACGAAATTTGATTCAAATGATCTGAAATTTACCAATAATCTTTATGATTGATAATCACTATACTTTTTTTTTAAATGAAATAAAATATTCGACTAATCTGATTTTAAAAACATTTGTTTTTAATCTTCAAATAATAATAAAAACTAAAACAAATGAAAAATAATAAGACCATTTTATTTGATGTATTTTGATTAAAAGATCATGAAAAATAGTTTTTTCAAGCGTTTTCTGTATGCACTATCAGTTTAAATAATGAAATATATTTTTACAAATAAATATTATAGAGACATTACAACTAAATCAAAATCGCTTTATATATAGCAATTCCAATATCAACTATTGTTGTAGATCATTGAAATTTTAATTAATTATCATTGTATCTTCTATAATCTTGATTTCAAAATTCAAAGTGAAATTTATATTTTTTAATTTCAAATAATTGATAATATTTATTATAAATGATGTCAAATTATTAAATTATTAAATTATATTATATTAAATTATATTAAATTTTTAATATTATATTTATATATTATAAAATTTAAAAAATGATAAATCAAGTTTATGATAATAAAGAATAGACATCCGTATATGTTCGAATAAGAGAATTTTTTTATTATCTTTTGCAAAATCTTCTCAGAAATGGATTAGAAACGTCTGCCAGTTTGTGTTGAAACATGATAACAACTACTTAAGTATTGTTCCATAATACATCGAGTACGTAATTGAACTTTCAAATCTTTCTAATAATCTATACAACGACGTATCGTAGAGATTTCATATCTTGAGGGGCATCGACTTTTGTTGTTTTCAAACGTTGAATATCATTTTTAATTATCATGTCATAAAAATAAATCAATGTATAAACGAATGAATTAAAAAAATGAATTAATTTTTTTTTAATGTTGATATAATGTTGATTTTTTTATATTAAAAAATACAGTGTATATTTTAGCATACGAAAAATATCTAATTTGTCAAATTGTGTTCAATTCTTATGTAAAAATCTCATCATAATTCGATTTTTATTGGATAGAAAATTTATTCAAAAAGTTATTTCTTATAAATAATTTGAATTCAGCATTAAAAATAATATAAAAATATATATTTAGAATGTTTTTTTTAAAATAATTACTGATTGATTTTCATTTGAACATTCTTTTAAAAACCATATATATTATAGGAATAACTTTACTTATTGATTATTTTTCAAAATTATAAAATAATATTCTCAATCTTTATCTAAAAGAAATT